TCGCTCGCTCGCTCGCTCGCTCGCTCGCTCGCTCGCTCGCTCGCTCGCTCGCTCGCTCGCTCGCTCGCTCGCTCGCTCGCTCGCTCGCTCGCTCGCGCTCGCTCGCTCGCTCGCTCGCTCGCTCGCTCTCGCTCGCTCGCTCGCTCGCTCGCTCGCTCGCTCGCTCGCTCGCTCTGCCCGGCTCGGCTCGGCTCGCTCGCTCGCTCGCTTTTCCCCCCCCCCCCCCCTCCCCCCTCCCCCGCTTTTCTCTCTTTTGTTTTCTTCTAGTGTTACGTCCATTGCTGATCGTCTCAATGTCGAGTTTGCTTTAATTCACAAGGAGCGTAAGAAGGCCAACGAAGTGGCCTCTATGGTGCTTGTTGGTGATGTTAAGGATAAAATTGCCATATTGGTAGATGATATGGCTGATACTTGTGGTACAATTGTGCATGCTGCCGATCGTTTAGTTGAAGCAGGTGCTACTAAGGTAAATATTTACATATTTGTTTGTTATTAAACAAAATTAACATTATTAATTTGTCGTTATTTTTTTTCCTGTTAAAGGTCTATGCCATTTTAACACATGGCATCTTTTCGGGACCAGCAATTTCACGCATTAATAATGCTTGTTTCGAGGCTGTGGTTGTAACAAATACCATACCTCAAGATGGTCACATGAGAGACTGTCCCAAAATCCAGGTGAGTTGAAAAAATCTATCGATGATTATCGAATATCATTGCTAATACTTAATTTTTTCCTATTTTTTTTAGTGCATTGATGTATCTATGATGTTTGCCGAGGCTGTGCGAAGAACTCACAATGGCGAAAGTGTTTCTTATCTTTTCTCAAATGTTCCATATTAAGAACTACTTTAAACAATATATTTTTTTTTAATTTTTTAAATATATTTTTATAATTTTAATTCAAATACTTTAAACAATAATAACAACATTTTTTTCTTTCCTAACAAATACTACCAATCAACCACTACTTTAATTAATTAATTTTGTTTAAACTAATTTTTTTTTGCCATTGTTAATAACTTTTTTTTGAAAAAATATTTTTTATTTATAAAAAGTATTTTTTCATAATTTCGTTTTGTAATGAATACTTCATTTTGTTTTTCCTTTTTCTATACATAATAAAATAAGACCATGTTAAAATTTCTTTGCCATTAAAAAATACTGTTTTTAAAAAACTCTTTAAATTTAATTTAGTCAAAATAATTATATTTACCACCACCATAACTATACATAATTATATACCACTTACACACCATAAACTCAAACATACAAATAAAGAAAGTTGTACTCCTTTTTTTCTAAAAAAAACACATTTCAATTTTATTCATCTTGTTAAACTAAATTCTTCTAACACTTTTTAATTGTTTTATTCTTTTGTTTTCTAAGAATCAGAGCACTTTTGACCAGAACTTGAAAAAAAAACATAAATTCAATATTTTTTATATAGAATATTAAGAATGTTTCCCTTAAGAAAGTAAAAATACAAAAAAATTAATAAAAAAAACATTGAATAGTAAAAATCAACTCTTGGAAATAAATTAAAGTACATTAAAAAATATTGATAAAATAAAAAAAATAATCATTGTTATAGTTAAGTCTTCATTATTAAAACGCATAGTTCAAGAAAAAATAAACATAATTTGAAAGTAAAAGTAAAAATAAAAATAACATATTAAAAATAATGAATAACTAAAGTAAAAATATACAGAAAAAATAAAATAAATATGTATAAGACAAAAACTCAAGAATTTGTTTTTTTTATTTTGAAGAGATTTAAAGCAAATTTGGCGCCGATCAGATCCTATTTGGTATAGATAGATAGATAGATAGATAGATAGATAGATAGATAGATAGATAGATAGATAGATAGATAGATAGATAGATAGGTAGATAGATAGATAGATAGATAGATAGATAGATAGATAGATAGATAGATAGATAGATAGATAAATAGGTAGATAGATAGATAGATAGATAGATAAATAGATAGATAGATAGATAGATAGATAGATAGATAGATAGATAGATAGATAGATGATAGATAGATAGATAGATAGATAGATAAATAGGTAGATAGATAGATAGATATAGATGGATAGATAGATAGATAGATAGATAGATAGATAGATAGATAGATAGATAGATAGATAGATAGATAGATAGATAGATAGATAGATAGATAGATAGATAGATAGATAGATAGATAGATAGATAGATAGATAGATAGATAGGTAGATAGATAGATAGATAGATAGATAGATAGATAGATAAATAGGTAGATAGATAGATAGATAGATAGATAAATAGATAGATAGATAGATAGATAGATAGATAGATAGATAGATAGATAGATAGATAGATAGATAGATAGATAGATAGATAGATAGATAGATAGATAGATAGATAGATAGATAGATAGATAGATAGATAGATAGGTAGATAGATAGATAGATAGATAGATAGATAGATAGATAGATAGATAGATAGATAGATAGAT